AGGAAACAGTTGTTCAGAATGATGACCTTGACAACATATTTCAATGCCATTGAAATCGACGAAGATTATCAATACAATTATACAATTGCTTAATTGTTAACTAAATGTATCAAATTTTTAACGAGAATACTTTGATTTTGTTGGGACTTTCGAGGTTGATGTTCAGCACTTAACGTACTGGTGCGAATTTACAACTCGCACGATCGCAATCTTCAAGGTATACAGAAATATGTACATGATATCGCGGCGTCGAATCGCGTGTCCAACGATGAAGTCGTAATTTTGAATCATTAGATTCGCAAGGAACCGCGATTCCACGCTAGTGAATCATCTCGCAATTTCCTTCTTCTTTTTTTTGTGACTTTCGAGACAGCATTGCACGAGTAGAAGAATCGGCCCGCAGAAAGAAAAAACGGTTGTGGAACGACGAGTTCGGATCAGTTCAGTTTACACTTTTATACCGTGTCTGTTTCTATTTTCGTTGGCCGGTGACAGAGGACGGGGACTCGAAACGGGACAAGGTTACGAACAGATCGAACTTTGCTGAAAGAGGATTCGAGTTCAGTGTCGTCTAACTCGCCAATCGGGGGAATCTGAGATTTTGCTTGAAATATTACAAAGCATCGCGGTCGCGTGTTTTGATATTGACGCGGTATCAATGTAGATATCAATTCTTATCTAGTTGAGATCCCGATGTTCCGGGTGAATTGGTTCGAGTAGCGCGAAGATAGAATCATGTCCCGTAACCAAGCAATCGTGCTCGTTCAATCGGTAATTAAATTAAATGAGATCAAAGGCGGATACTGATGCAACGTTTGAGATTATTCACATTGCTTTGCTCGGACCATATATTCTGGACATTTTGCCGCTTGTGACTCAAATTGTGTAGTCTTTTCGCGCACTTCGACGATGAACAGAAACAATGAAAAAGTTTATGCGACTTAATATTCATAGCCATTTTTTGTTTCAATAATCTGAGATTGCTTACCTTTATAGACGGAATGGCTATGTTCTGAATAAAACAATATAGAAATTTAATCGCCAGTTAAATGTTCTCAACGCATTGTGGATTGGAAATTGTAGTATACAGTGACTCATAAAAGTGTTCGAACACCTTTTAAAATGGAATAACATTTTTAAGAATTGAACGACGTCTACTAAATTGTTTAGCAGGTCATTAGACTGCCATTTTCGACATTCTCAAGGAATAATGTTGATTTTAATGCAAGTACTGAAGACAACCTTGTTAACGCATCTAGTGCCATATAAGATATTAATCTCTGACCAGATTTAGAAATTCATTTTCGTCGTGATTTTTTTATTCACGTAAACTGAATTCTTTTATGATTTTTAGAACGTAAAAGAGTTAAGATAGCGTCCACTATGATCAATTTCTCATCTTAATGGTTTCTGTTTCATTAATTAAATGACTTCGGTTTTGTCAGCATTTTTGAGACTGATATTCGGTACTTAACATATAACATATTTCCGTACCAAAACTCCTTAGCCTGATATTAAATATTAGTCCACCAATGAACGGCGTTTCCACGCAATTCTCGCAGGAAAAGTATGTACTGTACTGTATGTTTCCAACGCGCGTCTGCTTTACGCCAACATTATGAAACAATTGAAGACTCCACTACAACGTACCAAAAGACCGGAAAGAATTCCTAAAGAACCAGTTTTTCGAAGTTGCGAACAAGAGTACCCTTATAACGTTCCCTCGCGTTTCGTCAAATCGAAAAACCTGTCGGAACAAATCCAACATTCGTCGGTGCCCGGAAAAACGAACAAACAATACAATTCGCCGATCGTCGCCGTCCTGTTGTACAAGGGACGCTCGACCATGTGGTACAACGTTTGCAATTAACCGAACAGTTGCTAAATTGGTTTAAAACGGTATCTTTTACACGAGTCAATTCCGAATGGTCGGGTGCTGGCGAACAGCGCACTCTGTATAAATGGGAATTTGTTTACGGTGGCGAGCAAGGATTCGACGGTGTTAGCGAGACTTGGGGGGGGGGGCGGAGAGAGAAAGAATACCAAAAAAGAAAAGAGAAACGAAGGGACGGAACGGTAGCAACGGTAGCGACATAGCTCTCTTATTTCATTAGCCAATCGAGCACAAATAAGAAGTAGCGCAGCGGAGTCTGAAGCCGGGTGACTCACCCTGTGCTAGCTAGCACGCGAAACCCGATTGCTTCTAAATAGTGATGCATATTATATGTATACAACCACAGGAATATACAGTCCGGACTGTAAACCTCTGGAGATCGCGTGGCCGCGACCGAGCATTTTACCAACTACAATAACTATGGAACTTTTTCGTTTGATCTGCGTAGGTCTCCGTCTATCGCAGACGTCGCGTGCAACTTTTCCGAATCGACGTAAAATATTCATCGGGATCCGTGGCACCGGGTATCTCGGGCTAACTACAAAAATGAGCGATGCTTTATTTCAGAGGCTCGACGAATCGACGTTCATGAAGAATTTGAATTAAAGTTCAAATCGGCCATTGAAGACAGTTACGAAGAACCGAAAAACCTCATAATTATTTGTTTGTCAAATCTGTTCAGTCTTACGCCTAAACAATACCGTTCAATTCTTTCTTTTAATCGAGGAATGTGTACGTAATTAATATCGTATAATTAATATTTGTACGAAATATTCGACTGATAACTTGTACAAGTTTAGTTAATTCAACTGTGTTGCAGTACTATGTTTCAGTCATTTATTTATAGCGTTTAGAAAACTAAGGTCGTACCTACACGCGATGCATTTAGTTCTGACAAAGTGAGTTAATATGATATAAATCGTTTACACGCACACATAGCGAACGCAACAAAATCAGCGACAAAGGTCGAACCTGTAACGAGACCTGGAAAGAGTTAATTGAACACGAAAGGAGCACCAAAGTAGAGTAGGAATGAAATTATGTGTTGTTAACCACGTTAATTACAGTTGTTTGCGAATCTTCCAATGAGTTTCCTTTATCTACAGCCTTACAAAATGCTTCGCTGCGTTAATATAATTTGTATCCTACTCATGTTTTTCGTTTTGCTGAATAAAGTAAATCGTCTTTGTCTTTGATTATAGTGTAAGAATCTAGGTTCGGAAAGTTAACCTTTTAACCCTTCCCAGAAAGATTTTCTCCAACAGTGAAGTAAACATTCGTATTACAATATATTCAGTAATACAAAAATTATATGAAGTATCCTTTTCAAAATATGACTACAATTCAATTAGTTTTTCGAATGGTTTCGAAAGCGACAATGGTCTCAAAAGGGTTAAAAGATTAAAATTAATCTCCTGGAAATAATATTGACGAACATTATCGACCTTAATTACGGCGTCGATTACAAGATTTTTAAGCGCATAAGATTAAAAAGTTTTGTGTAGAATTAGTAGCAGTACCTTTTCAGCATCTCGAAAAATCTCAATTTCTGCTCTCTTCAGTATTCCAGGATCAAATACGTGTCCCTAGAGATTTATTACTGTCTGTAGGTACCGTAATTATCACAAGTTCACTTCACAAGGTAGGAAGGACAATTAGTTTCTCCGAATAGCTCAGTTTCCGACGCAAATCAATTAACCGAAACCGAATCAGCAACATGGGACGTCCACCTAATCAAATGATGTCTACATTCGAACATAGAGTACCGACACTCAACCATTATTCGACCACGGGTGTGCAAAGATTTAAGTCGATCAAACATTAAGGATCTCTTCCACGCTCTTAATCCTGCTGCATTGTTAGGAGGGTCTCTTTGGGCCGAATTATATTTTCATTTCTTCAATGCTATCATCGTGTGACTGCGTATTACTTTTTTCTTATTGATAAAGATTCTAACTCGAAGTTGCTGATTGTAATGAAACTTGGCCTACATGTGGAGTACCGAAAAATGCTCAACCTTGCGCGACCTAGCTTGGCGTTGAATCAACTTGTGTCATGATGTACGAACTCGTCACAGAGAGCGCACAGCAAAAATAAGAAATTTCATGTACGAATAAAATAATTGAAGTTCTCTTGAAGCGACCTTGACGTCTTCACCTACAACGTCGCCTCGTATATCGAAAGATATCGCCGTAGAACATATTTTCCATCCGATCGATCTTTCCATTTCGGAGAAAACTCAATCGGCCGCTTGATAAGAATCACCCTACAAATGTTTACCAAATATTGCCATCAGCAAATTCGAGTTGGATGATGCTTTTTTTGTCGGTCGCATTTTTATTTTGTCAAAGATGGTTCTGTGTTTAAGAAAAATGCAAATATGTGCACGATTTTCGAATTCCTGATGCGAAAATTTCAACCAACATCATATCTAATTCGGAGACTTCATTTCTGTGCGGCCTTTAACCGTTTGAGTGCCGCGCGATCTCTGGTTCCTCGTCGAAAAATGCCGTTCCCTATTTTTCTTGCCATTTCTTATATTCCTTATTTCTTATATTCGTGTCCTTATTGTTACCGTTCACACATGTGTTACTAAACCGAAGCACCATCAAAAGTAGACTGCGGATTTTTGCACGCTACAATTGACCAAGTGAAATATCAAATAATGAAAACATTAGAGGCATCTAAGAACGTTTTTACTTTTGTTTCATACAATTTGTGCATAAAATTTTTATTCTGCATAAAGATCAGCTACCTGGTCATAAGCATCGTGGCTCGTTTAAAATTTTAAAGAATCGTGTATAGAAGAGCAATCGCACTGCTTATTTCGCGGCGCGAAACGGAAGAAACGTGATCGTACTTTTATCAATCTCCGATTGGATTATCGCGAAGGCACTCAAACGGTTTGTTTCAAGTTTACGCTGAAAATAGTGATTTACCGGAACAGGATCGAGAGTTTACGTGAGTAAGATCGGCTGGCTGTCGGTTGTATGCCTGGCGGCGTGCACCCGTGAACGGAACGGTGCCGACGAAGGAGGGTGTTCGGGAGAGGGTTGCACACCCTCGGAGATGCGACGCGCGCGTTGCACTCCCGGTGTCACCTTGAAACAGTGCGCGGTCTCTGAGCGCGATCTCTGAGCGCGGGCTAAACGCGTCGAGGAGACGCACAAAGAAAACGGTACGGGGAACTAGTTCGACGAAGTCGAGCGAGCGTTCTCGGGCGCGCGCGACGTGTACCACGAACAATACGATATTCTAGGAGGAAACGGTGTAGAAGAAGGTAGAGAGGCGGAGGAGACCTCTCGGCGGGAACCGAGTTGGCAGTGGGAAGAGGATAGGCGGCGGAGGGCGGAGAGGGCAGAGAGAGAGCGGAGGAGAAGGAGAAGAGGACGGCAGGAGGGCTGGCGAAGCACGTGAAAGGCGATTTAAAGGAAAAAAGAAGGAGGTAGTGGCCTTTAAAAAAAAAAAGATGAAGAAGGAAGGAACATGGCGAACCGGTCGCAGCCTCCATTCGTCAGCTGGGTGCTCAGCTGCAACCGGACGCGGTGACCTCGGACGCGGCTTCACGGAAAACCAAGTGAATTTGCAAGCAATAACGGTGTCACGCAGTGTTCGTGTCTCTCTCGTCGGTGATTTAACGTGCTTTCGTACTCCGTACACCCGCGCTAACTCGCGCACGCATGCACGCACGCACCTATCATGCTACTTTTCTACACTTCTCCGCTCGCTCTAGGATCGCTCATCCGTCTTCTCTACGTGTCCTCTCTCGCTTACCACTTAGACCAGTCGCCGTTCGGGAATTTTTAAATGCCAGTAACACACGAAGTTTCCTCTCTGACCCGACAACACTCTGTAAACGCGGTCATCGGTCGCCTTACAAGTGATCGAAAGTACACCCCGGCCGACTGACAGTTCAACGACATTCGCGTTTACCATTGCGCCAGGAACACGCTTTCCTTCGCGTAGCGTTTCGAACCGTGTACGCTGCTGGGGCTGCAACGAAGGTTCGAACAGTTCTACTGCGAAGGTGTTCTCGGTCAGTTCGAGTTAAATATTCGACCGGCTGTTTTTCGATGTCCGAATATTATTTTCGACAAGAATCATCGAAAAAAATACCATTCTTACGTCAAATGTAATAATTGGAACATGTCGATGTTGATTGAACGGTTGAAACACGAATTGCTCCTTCAAATTTCATATTTCGGTTAGGACTCGTTCAAAGTTTTCAATTTATCTCTGAATAATCTATACTTTATGTTTGATTTAATTTGAACTTCAAATTGTGTAATTACTATAACCGTCAAGAAATAAAAAGTATTTTACAATATCGATTCGGGTTTGAACTTGAACTTTCTGGGACAAACTGTTTCGATAGTTATAACATGATTTCAAATCAATAAAGCAGATTTTCAAAGTCATTAGCTACTACACAAATATTTGGAACCACTTTATGAATCAATGAAAATAGAAATCGATCTTATTGAGCGTAAATTCTAATAATTCCTTAAATTTGTTTATTTGGTTGGCATCAAATATAATTTGGCTGGAACCTGATAAATGGTCTCATGCTTCCAGCTACTAGCGTGTCTCAAATTTGAAAGTCAACTGTATGATCATTTAGTAGTTTTATACGAGGCTGACGTACGAGCAGTTCCAAATATTTGGCAGAATTCGAAACGATCATAATATGAATAACTGCTGGTTTAAGCAATTTGAACAGTCTGGATTTTACATGACAGGAATACATGTACACATTCGCGTTGACATCGATTCGATCGTTTCGATCCGACGGAATTAGAATCGTACAATGTCTAGATCACGTCAACCCATTCGTGCGACCTATCTCGATGACGCGCGTTGTTACCAAACCTCCGATGTACCGGCAAACAAATCGTAATACTTTCTGACCAAACCAAAACCGATTCATCGAAGCCAGTGAAAAAAATCTGGATGAAATGTAACACAGCGTAGCCACTCCGGTCAAATCATTCGTATTTTTCTGACATCGCTAGATTTAACGGCAGCACGAATCACTGAGAGATCTCTACCATCGGATAGCTCTACCACTTTTCGATTTCAATTCTCACTTGGATCCGAAAAGTGAACAGTGAGACAGCGGAAAAACGACAAGGCCGATCGATGTCCCTATCTTTTTTTCTTTCCGTTCAAGAAATAATCGTCGCCGTGATAAACAAATCACTGGGAATCGGTACACTGCGGTGACGAACGATTGGAAACAAGAGACACTCATGGAATATTACAATTCGGATGTAAGAGGTTACAAGCTTAGTATCACAAATGTAAACTGCACGGTATTTACGGTAACCTTGTATCACGATTCGCAACGATGCTGGAAATAGGGAACTCGAATAAGGAAGAAAGACACGAGAAAAGGTCGAGAATGTTTTCGGAAGAAACACTGTAAACCGGTCGGTGCGTTCGTTCATCAGCTGAGAGGCCAGCTGAACCCAACGGCCGCTGTAACCTCAACTTTTCTAATAGGCTCTGTTTCGTAGGGAACGATTAATTGTCGCCGCGGTTATGCCATGCTGATAGAGAAAGCGAAGAAATACCTTGGTGTACAGGTTTCATCGACGGGTGAACCACAGAACTCGCAAAAACACTAACTTTCTGGAGATAAAACTTTTTGAAAGCCCACTCACAATGGAATCTTCCAGTAGACTGGCCGAGCCGGCAAGCCGTTCCCTCTTGCGTGCACACCCACCGTTCCGTGCAATGTCTCGCGTTTTACACAGCCGGAACCTTTTCTCATGGACCGATTCGATTTTCAGAGGTGTGGAACGGTACGCGGGGATCACAGCCCGTCGTTTCGTCACCTTAGAAAACTCTTATTTGCAGCAGAAACGCGGCGGTGCGCATACCGCTGACAGTTCCCGAGCTGTCACTTCACGACGAGCACGGACCTGCTGCCATCTTAAGCCGCGACCAGGAAACAGGGCTCCGTTTGAAAGAACCGCTCTCCGACTCCGACCACCTAGCAACAAGATCAATAGACTAACTTACAACAAGTCGAGCAGCTCCCGATGTATCCTATAGTGTTCTTATTAATTATTTAATAGAGCCATATTATGTCCACGAGCAGTTTCTTTTCTTTCGCGTTTTCGATCCTCCTCCAACGAACGTTGTTTACGACTGGACAGGATTTCCTGTTGGCTCCTTCAGTTTCTATGAAAACTGTAACCAAACGAGATTTATTCTTACTTTCAAACGTTTTAATTTTACGGCGTTGTGAATCTGCAACTATTAGATTGCAATGGAATTTTGATACCGTGTCAATTGTTTTATTGTGGTAGTTGTGTTACTCATCTCACGGAGTATCGACTAATCTGATGGTTTAGTACAGATCCATAATCATCTCCTTTCTTTTTATTGTTCCAGTATGTGACTTTTTTCTTTACGATTGATATTGAAAATTGTTTTTAAAACGAATTTACATTTGCTTTTTTTATTACTTATAAAATGTCGAGATTTCAATCTATAGTTTTCAGACTTTAAACACTGTAAAATAAAAATGACATAAATGAAAGATGAGTGGAAATTAAAACTCGTTTTCTACAGTGCTGAAACAAATTTTATAACTCTTCGTTTTAGAAGGAAGACACCTGGAATATTCTCACAGTCATAATAGCTGTCCATCCCACTCTTGCGTTAACTGTTGACTGATATAAGTGGGTTGGACAGCTATTATGACAATCTGTCTACGTCAGATTTCTTCTTACGAAAAAAAAAGGAAACGAAAGTAAATAGAACGTTAAATCGGTATCTCAAGAATAAAAATAAACAAATAGAATCAACACGGTTTTTCAAGAGGTTATCAAATAGCTGTATATTATTCACTGTTTTTTACTGCATTGTCTTGCGAATGTTTGAATTCTTAACATATCGAATGCTATTTAAGTCGTCACGAATAAAAATTTGTTAATGTTGTAATTACCTCGATAATTATATACAATCCTTATTAACAACATTTGATCAGGCTGCTGATGAAATATACGATACTTGCGTGAAGCATGTCATGTCATACGTATCATGTTCATTGATATAGTTAATTAATTCTTAATAAGGAATTGTCTTATCTTCGAACTCAGTAATTGCCCGAGATTTGTTAATGATAATTTATCACATTCCTTATGTATGTAATAAATTAATTACAGCCATTCGGAAAATACTTTATAAATTATTTGATGATCGAAAAATATAAAATTAACAAACATTTTAATGGTGTCATGCGTTTTCGGATATGTGAAATACTGCAGATTACAGATCGTTAATACCATGGATTCCTAAAATCTAAGTTGCGATAAGTATTAAATTACGATTATAGTTTATATACTCATTAATCGTTACATAACAATTTCAAACAACGACCAGTCATGGAAAATTCTTGGTCTATAAAAATATTTGCGCCTCGTGTAGCACATTGGATGATCAAGCATTTATGTAATAGTATCGAGATACCGCAGCGGAATAAAGTAGAAAGAAAATCACAGACAGATTTTCGCTTGAATGTTTATTATAACAACCTCGTTCTCTCTTCCAGTACAAAAAATCGAACGTCCTTGCAATCATTTACAAGGTATAACAACATATTGTACAAATAGTTCGTTCCGCGATTTCCATACATTCGCCAACGATTTCTATTTTCCTTGCATTTGTACGTATAACCTTCTCTCACAGTTTCCTTTCGCTTCGTGGTCCATGTCGGAATTGTATTTTACGTTTTAAATATAGGAATGTGAACAGGTCGTTTATAATGCTCGCGTTCACAACACCAAACATTGTTGTTCTGTTTTTTGTTCCCTCGAAACTACACACGGTTACACTCACACACGCTACAATTTTTCGTCACGGCCCAAACGAGTCCGTTAACGCCGTATCTATATACGTAACACGGGACTCATGCGAATCTACATGAAGAAGATGGCAACGTAGAACTTTACAAAAGTGAGCGGACAATGTGCAATCACTAAAGGTTCAAGCATCGACGTGAATTCTCTTTGAAAGATTATCTGCAGAAACATAAGATCGGGTGGATCTTATTCAACAACGTAGAGAAACAAGACATCAAATTTACAAAGAACTAGACGACTGTTTCGAATAATAAAAGGAAAAAAACTTTTACGCTTAAACAGAAATATAAACTGCAAATACGTTGCACGCGCAGCTTCTATCTGGTACTAGTCTATTCTTTGTTGAAGTCTTTGTGCGATCGCGGCAACCAGCGCTGCTCCTTTCCCGCTTCCGTCTTCGACGTGAATTATCTTAAACTGCATATAACCATGAATAATTAGTGTTAAGAGAAGAAAATATTGTTTAGAGATGGTAAAACGTTATTTTACCTTGTGATCAGGAACCAGCAGCGAAATGTACTGATTGATCCAGGTCTCCAGCCTGGGATGATGCTTGTATAGGGATCCGTCTACAGCAATCGTTACGAGTTCTTTATCGATCCGCTTCAATAACACCGCGAGACCTTAAACATTGAGTATTGATTAATATTTAATTGTGCAACTTTTGTACGATCTGTTTAATAATAAATAGGCTTACATATCGCTACAAGAAGAGCCGCGCGGTTCGAAACTACCTCGCAGACGTATTGAACAATGCTGACGTCGTCTTCGTCTGGAACGATACCAAACATCCTCAAGATTCTCACAGTGTTGCTGCTACCACCCTCTACAGAATCTCTGTGTTTCAGTATTGATAGACATTAGACAATGCGCACCTTCGAATTTAGAGTAATATACTTCGAGACAACTTACTGTTCGATGTCTGAAACCAATTCTGTTGTAAGTTTCCCAGGTATCAAAATGAATCCAGGATGGTGGTCTCCGGTAAACAACATCTCTTCTTTGGTTAACCTTGCGAGAACAATTCGCACTAGCTCGCCTAAGTATTTCCCACTAATATATTTTTCGAACCTGAATCCCAAACAAGACATAATATGTATTTATCAAGCAGAACATTTTTGACATGTACTTGTCAATAATCTCATTTACTCACGTGAATGAATTTACAATGAGAGAGTTTGCGTCGTTCTCACGATCATAGTCTGTCTTGATGAAATCCAAGACACCATTATCTCCAAACGCACCCCATTCGATGTCGATGATAACCTGCAACACATATGTTAATGAAATGTACAGTTGTTGATATATATATACATGGCTTTTCAACTATCAAGCAGTAAAAGTGACTATTTTATATTGCGTTATAAAAATACCCGAGTACATAAATCTGTGGTTGCAAGGAAAAACGCAAGGAAAAATCGATTTCGAGATATTTTCGCTTAGAGTTGTGTTTTAAATTGTAAAAGCCAAATGTTAAGTTTGGTAGTAGTGCTTTAAATTGCATTATTTTTGATCCTATCAAATTGGTTTCCTGATTTTTTGTTTATAAATACGTGAACCCTACATCCTACAGCTCAATTAATATTTTTCCTTACAGCCACAGAGATGTATTCAGTAATTTTGCATAAACACGTCCTAATCTGAACAATTACGAAATGAGAAGTTCAAAACTCGCTATTTAGGCTGAGGATTTCCAGCGTTTACGATAATAGACAATAGAAAAAACAATTACTTCGCGTTCTCCGTGTCGTTCAGTTTCCCAATGTTCGACCCGATCCGCACGTTCGAGATAGCAAGCGTTGCTTCCGGTACCCAATATCAGACCAACGGCTGTATCAGAGTCCAGAGCGGATCCTTGAACCAACGTTCCCGTAGTGTCGTTTAAAATGGCAACAACCTTGACCTTGGTATCGCCGCGACGATCTAATGCTTCGCGCAGTAGTCTCACAGCATCCTCGCTAACTGCGTCAGGGCAGTTGAAGGTTTTAGTCCAGGTCACCAGCATGCCAATATCCAAGGAATGTTGAACCATAGGGAACGAAAAGGTGAAACCTACAAATGCAAAAAGCGTAGTCACTTGTCAGACACGACACGTTTTCGAATCTTATTCGTTACACTTGTGAAACGATCAACCGCGCGTGAGGCTATGTAATCTATATTTGATTAACAACAAGTATCGGCCACTTGAATTTGTGAAATCAATGTCGAACACGATACTCGAGTCGTTGATAGCATAGTGTTTGAAAACATCGGTTCAGCACTTCAGCGTGCCAAAATTATGCGACGATATCTCTTGGGGACACGCAATTTGATTCCCGAAATTCTAATAATTAACCGAAATTGTTCCAAAGAGACCATGAAGAACGCAGGGAACAGCAATTAAATGCCTCACACGTGATTCCCCCTCGCGTGTAGTGTCTCCAATTTACCGAGGGGAAGCTCTACATCCTGAAGACCCTGCGCGATGACGAAATCACTGACACATTTGGCCAGATAGTCGAAGAGGCGAATGGCCGATCCCACTTTCAAATCGGAGCTGATATGATACTTCTTTACTTCTTCGCGTATTGGTGTACCGTGCATCAGTTCCACCAGAATCAATCGGAAGTTGGTACCTCCGAGATCCAACGCCAAATACAAGCCTTCCTCTGCAAAGAAATTCCATTAATTTCGGTAGCCATCGAAAACCAGAGAAACAATCGTTTGTAAAACAACCATGCAGCGAAAGCTGCAAGATAAAAAGGTGTCCGAGCATAAATATCGGCACGACGTTCAAACGAAAATAAGAATCTCCAACGATTATATTTACAAGCAGCAATAAATTTCTCCGTTGTAAAAGTACTGCATTTACTATACATTTATTACTATATATTAGAGTAGTAAAGACGCAGACCGATAGCTCAAGATTAACAATTATCGCTGAAAAATTTCTATTCGATTATTAAGCGTTTTACAAGGCCAATAAAGTCGCACCAGGCGGAACGGGAAAAATAATACATAGATACTGATTATCGTAACAACCTGTGCCGTCGAGGAGTTCCGGCACATAAGTGTTCTCCATTTGTAACGACGACGGCTGCTGATGAATCCCCTTGTTCATTTCCGACTCGAACACATCTTGGATCTCTGTTATGGTCGCGACGGAAAATCGCAACCCTGCGACCCTTTGCTCGATCTGCAAACAAATCTCTTAGATTTACTCATTCGTTGACGCGACTGTTCAAATATTTTCACATCAAGTTCGTGGCACGAGCAATTGAAGGCTGCTATTCTCAACAGGCAATAACTTTGGACGTATTGTACACAGACTGTTTGGGACATTTAGGACATTTTCATTCGATTTGTATCAGAGTGTTCACGCTATGCGTGCCGCCCCCGTTCCGTGCCACGCTGGTCCAATACTGAAAAATGTGTACACACTAGCAAGCAATCCCGGTCCGGATTTGCTTCGATCATAAGCAAAATATTCTTTCATTCATTTGTGTTAGAGTGTTCACACTATGCGCGCTGCTTAAAACAAAGCAAAACGGGCTGGTACAATATGGACAGTGTGCGCGCAATCTTTCGTTTCAGTGTCATTAACAGCTATCGGACAATGCAATGAATGTGTGCGCAATATAAATTTTCTTATATTGTTTATTACTTTATATTCTATACACAGTTATTCAGTTTAAAAAATTACATTTTAAATTGTACAATAAAATATAAATTTGAATGTGAAATTCATTTACACGAAGAGTTATATTTATAAGAGATATTAATATGAAAAGTATATTTATATTTTTCATAAAATTTATAAATTTGTAAATGTTGTGAGATATAACGTTACAAAAATTATATCGCGCTTAGTCTTAATTTAATCAGAAAAACTTCACGATTACATTGGTAAAAGTCCCATTAAGACAAAATAAAACATAAAAAGGTTTCACATTGCGTTCTTGTCTACTCTTTACTTGCTATCCTTTTCTACGTTTGGCAAAGTACAAAGGGGTTTCATTCAGTATTTAATCGGACCTGCCTGGCACGATATTTGCCCGCTAATATGAACGCTAGTGGACTTGCACGGATCGAGCACGACCCGAGCATTGCCTGTAAGTGTCTTTTCACCCAACTGCTACCGAGTGATGTACAAATATACTGTACTATAATATAATAAGCTGAATACAGATTGCTCTTCGTCTACACCTAATTATCAATATATTCACAATGATAGCAATTGAACCTCAGTTTGTAAACAAATATGGACAATTTTGAAAGAGAAGTTGTTTGTTTTGCAACAATTTACTGTATACATATAATTCCAGTTTTTGCAGTTTAGTAATAAGTTAACTCGAGCGCGCTAAACTGGCCAAACTGTGCACACTCGAGATAACTCGAGCGGCGTTGTACTTTATGTTGCTATAATTTTTCACACTCGAATGCGATCGAGAATTGAAAATAACAATGTGAAAGCAAAAAAAACAATCGTTTTATTGATATTTATCATTTACATGGGATTGTAAGCTATAACACTTACTTATTCATGTATAAAATATATTCTTTTTCTACTTATCACTTACGAATAATCTCTTACTTGTGAGCTGCTTTCCGACAGCGTATTCATATTCAGATTCTGATTCGCTCATTTTTCAATATATATTTTACTAAAATATAATGTAAAATAAAATATAATAATAATAATAATAATAATAATAATAATAATAATAATAATAATAATAGTAATATTCTGAAAATTAGAATTGCAATAAAAATTTTGATTATTTTTGTATTTTTGTAATTTTCTTGCCAAGACAACGTTCTAAATTGTGTTTTTTTACATTAAAAAAAATTGATCTTTTTTGGCCGTCCTTTTTCAAAAAAACTGTGCATTAAGGGGTTAAGGTTGCTAGGTAACTAAACTCTCCTTTCAAGTACCTAACAATAACACAATGGACAGAGACGCAAGGTGGTAAAATATAAACTACCATGAGCGAAGCTAACATACGATTTTACGATGAAGCATGACAAGATACAGAAATAGGAGTCTCGATGTACCGACACGTACGCATAAGACAGATCTAACTTTAAGCAAAGTTAAATTAGGCAAACAAAACGTTTGCTACACATTGCTTCCACTGGGTACCTAGATCCGCATCGGGAGATAACAAGAGCAGTGGTAGAATTTTCCACGAGCCATAAATCTTCGTTAGCGTTCGACAAAGATTCCTGCGAGATTGTGATGCATTTTCAAGTGCACGCGACTAGCAGTGTCATTGTTTATCTCGGTTCACTCTTACGTGATCCCTAATGCGATTCTAATGGTAAAGGCGGCAGTTTGCAAGCAAGAAGACGACGGCTCTATTCTAACAATTAGATTGACGACAACGGAGACACAACGCGCATAAACGCCGTGCAGTCTGTCCACGATTAACACTCCCGGGCGCCTGGGTTGACATAATAAAAGTGTTACGTTACCGCACAACCGAATTAATCTAGTTAACGATTTCTGTCGTGCACAGTTCCGTGCTCCCTTTTGCCGACGATCGATGATCGCGTCCCGTCCGCGCAGAAGATCGTCGCGAGATCGGAAACCGACTTCCCGCGGCCAGATGATACTAATGTTTCATTTCCTCGAAGGTAAACCGGTTGCGCATTCACGCAATCGTCGCGTCCGCCACGCCGAGAAAAAAACAACCGGAAACCGATATTCACCGGCGGCTGTGAAAGATAAGAAAGAACGAAAGAAAGAAAGAAATGCGCGCGAATCGAATAATGCCATCACGAGTGTCATAAATCGCGGCCGACGAGCGCGAAAACGTTTCACGTAAACAAATCCACGCGATACGTCAAATGGTATTATGTCACGGGCAGACAAAGCGCGAAGGAAATTTATTGCTTTCTACGGATCGACGCCGCGCGGGCGATATAATTGGTGATACAGAATTATCAATTAATTTATTGTTGCGCATGCTTGATCTCCGAGGTATCGTCGTCGAGAAGAAGTGAAACAGAGCCGAATATGTACGGCGGAGCCGCAAGAGACAGATTCGAACGTTGCATAGCACGCGGTTCGCGCTAATCAAATGCAAGAAGAATGCGTGGGTCGTCTATTACATCGTCCGACTGACGTAATGCGTTCTATGCAAAATATTCATCGACGCGTGAGATCCGAATATCTATTCCACTGTTTCTTACGAAATTCAACCGCACAGAAACAAAAAGTGTCGGTATAAATCCGAGTATCGATAACTCTTTTTTCGAGCCGCCGATATCCCCGCGACAGTACAAAAATAAGCTTTTTGGCGTCGATTCCTGGTCTAGCGGAAGACCTACTGATAAACTCTTTTCGGTTGTCTAAAACTGCGATTATTGGGTATTATGCTACGATAACCCCCAATGACTTCGTGGGTGATGATAAGCGGCTGATTGAGTAGTTCGCGACTAGACTTTCGATAAATCGTGTGAAATCTAGCCAGCGAATACATTGAACCTCTAGTCGGGTTTCCGTTGTCCGTGAAAACGAATGTTACTGCGTAGTTTATTTGTCATTCTCTTTTCAGCCCCTCTTAAATTTCGTTCGGTCCCCGGGTTAAGTCTCTATTGGGCGTATCTTATTGCAATGTTTTTTTCCCCATTTTCGTTCAACCGACGCGAGTTGCATAATCGGCTTCACAAAGCCGTGGAAGAAGAAGCCTGCGTTCTCGGGCGAAGTTAATTGCTCGCACCAGCAGCACCATGGAGATTGGCAGGAATAAAAATTAATGTATGTAGTATACATGTATATTGGATCGACCGGTGTCAGTAAACTCTTAACGAGAGTGTCGCAAGGTTAAGGACTCCCCGGTCCGCAGTTTCTTGCAGCGGTAATCATTAAGCGTTATCGTCATTGCTAATGTAGAAATCGATCAATTATGTAAGCGGCGTGATAACGGCGTTCAAACGGCGTTCCGTTTAAAAAATACACTGTCGGCCATTTAACCTTGTTCATCGATCCGATGATATCCTCGTTTTCTTTTGCAACGAGCTGAAGTACTCGATCAACGTTCGTAAACGAAAGACGCGACCGTCATTAATTTCTGTCCCCGATTTTGTAATTCCCTCCGCGTTTAGCTACGCTCTTATCGACCACGATACTTCTTTGTGGTTCCTGTTGTGTGTCGAAGGGCTAACAAGTTCACGGGCGGCGGTCTCGTGATCTGTCTGTTTATCGCGCCACTTAAACTAGTTGTCTGAATAGAAAAATTACAAGTTACGTATCTATAGTCGCGCGACTGTATTACATCTACAAATGTACATGTAATCTATGTCTCTTTTTTCTTAATCCTAGATAGTTGTAAGCTATATACAAGCCACGTTATTACTAAAAAGTCGTACGAATGGCTCTACGTCTACAAGGAATACAAACGTAATCAATCTTATTTTATTTAACAAGATATATTTACATTATAAAGAAATAAGATGGATAAAATGAATGAAAATATAATCCATGGTGTAAGAGATCCATTTAATATCACAAGATTCGTACGTCCAAAAGACTAGTTGAAGTTATCTAAAAAATTATGCTCCAATGAAGCGTTCCCATTAAAACAATGCTTATTGATTCCCATTCAAAGCGATATGGATAGCTAAACGTTTCTTAAATAACAATAGATCTTTCATATATGAAGTAGATTACTCTCTGCGACAGGCTAGATTATAAATTGTTAAAACGCCGTTTGCAAAACTACAATTATTAGTCAGAAATGTAACACATCTATCACATCAATGTGAACGTTGAGTTCACGAGTTGAACAAAAAGATTGCCATTTTCGACCATTTCTCAAATCCTTCCAATACCATTTGTTCCATTTTTCAAATGCAGTTGGCTGTACTTTTGATTGTAATCAAATTACTATTGAGTAAGATATAAACTTTCTTAGCATCTACGAGGTGTAACACGTTGACTACCACATCACAAGCCACAAAAATCGTACAACTTCAAGGCAATTTAATTAAAGAAACAAACTGGATAGTTAAAATCAGTTAAAACGATTGCTTCTGCAAGTCTTCTAAGTGATACAAATCGTAGTATAAAATTTGCTCTGCTTGAATACATTACAACACAAAGTTTCTAAATCTGATCGATGAATCGTGTCCCTTTTTTCCAGTGGTGTGGCAGTTAACATGCTAAGATCCAGATGAGTAGTGATATTGAGATCTATCTCACTAAATTTGCAAATCGGTCGGTTGATCCTTACCCTCTGCCGTCTAACATCATCCGATAGCACGAGCGGCGATATCTGTATCGCATCATTGAGGGCGTCCATGTCTGCAGATCACTCGATTGCCTATAAAGCAGACGAAACTATGATATTCAAGGGAACGAAGAAAGCGACGCCATTGGACATTTTTAATTAACGGGAGTCAGGCAGAGTAACGTTAAACACCGGCAAAAAGGGTCGTGTGGCGCAAAAATAGCCTTTCATTGATAATGCAATCGATTCATACGCGGCACGTGCGCTCACCTTGTTGACGCGGCAAGTGTTATCTTCCAATTGAACTTTTTCGAACGAGCGTGAATGAATCCGTGACAGCCGTACGGGTAACGTGAATTGGCGGGAGGTGTGTTTCGCTACGGGCGAATGCGTGGTGCTAACTGAACGCGAGTTAAAAAGATCTGTCCTGCTTAATGTTTCCGAGTTATTTATTTTTCCCTCTATTCACTCTTTCTCCCGACATTCGGCGAGACGCGATAGCGAGCCGCGTTAACTATTAAATGAAAGGTTGAAAGTCCACGGTATTTTATAACCCTAGATAACACAGCGCGATCTTCGCTCGTGAATTATAACATCGCGGAGGGCACGACGAGTGGCTCCGCTGTTTGCGTATTTCTCATATGGATCGAATGCATAATTGCCAGGCGATTACGCGTACCACTGCTACCAGCACATCGTTTAGCTTCGCTGATATCACCGTGCTATTGCTGACCAAGAACGCAGAACGATATCTTCGAATGCCTCGCGAAAGCTAATTTTTCACCGCGATAGGACAATCTGCATTTAGTCTGGCAAGGAAGAAAATATAAGTCAATCCGATATATATATATATATATATATATATATGTATGTATAGGTATATTGTTTCAATGGTACCGATCATGAAGGAGCGAACGACGTATGAGAGGCTTGACAAACGTAATTACGGGGACACGAATTTATTTGCTGCCTTATAGGTCATCAACTATCACACAATAAGATCCCGTTTGAACCGTAATCCATTGATTTTTCAGAATCGAAGAGAAACGGTCGAATTACCTAATACTTCGGTGAAACTCATTAAATATTGCAATTTCCAATATTCAAAGCAATACGATATACATATTGCAAAAGATAATTTGTTAAGCATGAATGATTGACGTGACAAGACGCTTTTGAGACTCCCACAACCAACGTAATTATTCCGCAGTAGAGAGCGCTTATTGTTGTCAACACATACATATAATCAGACTGCATATTTTATGCATTTATAACAGAAATGGGTGAAATGTATATAACTGTGGTTGCAAAGAAGAACGCCGCATATCACACGTTTTCATTTTGGAAATATTGTCGCTTGAAGCACTGATTGTATTAGTACTGTTTTAAATTTGTTTGAGTTTTTTCTGAATTTATTTTTATGTTTTTTTTACGATAAATACGTAAATCCTACATTGTATAGCTTAATTAACGTATAAACTACAATTTTTTGAAATTGTCACATACGGTGTCGTTCCTTACAGCCGTAGATATAAGAGTACAAGAATTTAAAGAGTTTGTGATTCTTGATATATATTCCTTTCATTTTACAAACTATATTTGTTGAAATATCTCACACTTTTTCCGATACTTTCTGTAGTTTATGATCTGTTAATTCAATTACGGTGCTCTCAGATAACGCGATTCCGTTTATACGCAGTCTTTTTTTTAAATCTCGTAATAGTCACTTTAAAATTGTTTTTCTGAAGCCTCGTAACGAAAACTAACAATTAGCAATACGAAAAGATTGTGCCATACTTGGACCAACTGGTTAGTCAGTATAATATTAAGTATAATTGAGTGGTACTATTAGTTAAAAAATATTTAACCTTCCATCGAGTGCAATTGATCAAATTGATACTCGTCGAACGATTCTGTTTCGCATTCTCAAATGAAATATAATTTGGTGCTGTCATTTTCAGTTATAGATGCTTGTTCCTTTGATCACTAATCAAATATTATGTATATAGAAAAATGTTATTGTTTTAGTACAAAGCTATAGTATATAACGCCAATCATTATCTTATCATTATTATTGCAGCCAGTTTTTATTTTCCGAGATTATTTAGATTTTTAGCGCTCAATTATCTTTTAATTTATATATATATATTGAAAGATAAATCTTAGAATAAAGAAACTTCATTCTAAATTTATGTTTGCAACGGTCACGAATCAGATAATTAATGTTTTCTTAATCTGTGTATTCAATACATGTTCGACCTTGACGCACTGCACCCAATCTTTATTGAACGAATCGCTCAAAACGACGTTCTCCATGATTTAGAATAAAGATTCTTTTTTAGACAAGTTGTAAATTTAGAAAACAATTTTTAAACATGGCTGTTTATTTACACTTAACGGAACAATAATAGCGTACATGATAAAATCATTTCGAGCAGTGCAGCCTGTTACAGTGCTGTTGGTTTATTTTTGGGCATAATTAACTTTATATTTATCGATTCAGAAATAAACAAGATAAAAGAATAAAAATATGTTATATGTCTTATTCGATGACTACAATGTTAATTATGGTAAAAAATAAACCACAGGCATAACACTGAGAGAGGTCACCCCACAGTAATCGGTTCCACTACCCTAATTGTTTGAGAATGTGCATCGCCTGTTCAACGTTTCGGAACATTGATGACGTTCAAGTGAAAAGAATAATTCTGTGTGTGAAGCCTGTTATATAAGTAAGATATATCAAACATAGTAAAACGTATTTATTTATGTTAATTGCAGTTAGATAGTGAGTGCTGGAAAACATAAGTAAAAACATGCAATTTGTTTCTTACATATATCATATCAAACAAGATGGGTGATTCTTACTTACGAATTTACTCTTTATAGACAACTTATCAGGTCAGTTTTCATGATCTTCGAGAATATAAATAAGTTAAATACTCGTAAGACAGGTTCCAGGATAGAAGATCTAACTTTTTTCTGAATATGCAACTTGTTACGATCTCGCGTATCGTTTAATTAATCATTTATTAGCGCAATCTATTAATTCGAGTCAAGATATTGTCCTAAACAGGAGAAATCAATAGTACGTACAGGATGGCGTTTACGCTGTACGATGGCGGGATGCAAAACACTTCGGTACTCAAGAAAAATCCATAAATGACAAAGTAATCGCATTTATCGTGCACCAGTCACTCTACCGAAGCGAATTTCCCGACCTGATCGACAAAGAACGGAATACAATCGATTAGGTGATGCATCGCGAACCACCTCCGGTCGTAGATTACCCTCGACAGAGCTTTCAGAACAACATCCACATCGAAGCCCGCATGCATTCATCTCAAACACGCAAGCGCGTCCGTGTTACAAACGATTTTGCGCCAAGTCCACCGTGAATTAAGCGGGACAATTGTTTGAAAACCATCGACGACAGACGCTTCGATCTGCCTAATTATACATACGGAGTTATGTAAACCGAGAAATCGCGATCTTCGCCAGCGATACCCAAATATTCATGATGTAAAAGAGAACGAAAAAAAGGAGTCCAACGTGTTCTCGTACTATCATAATTTGACCCCGACATCGGTAATGAGAAAAGTTGAGGAACTTGTTCGACGAGGGAGACCTCGTTGACCGACGCGGCGTGCCTCTCGCATACTCATCCTATTTTTTCTTATTCGCTACCTGTTACTTGGACGACAAAAGTTCGACGGTCGTTGCACGGCAATTGCATCGCTGCGAGCCCTGTCTACGAGCGAACGAGTGAAAGGTATCGTGCGAAACCGTGTACCTAATCATTGTCGAGGACCTTATGTATCGATAATACACGTAAAAGGGACAAATTGCTGCGATCTTGTTTTCTGAGTGCGCGCAATCGCCGGGTACCCGCATGCATAAAGATTCAATTGTCCTCGGATAATGGTTTTCGAACTGGGTTCAGTCGAATCACGACCGCCAGTGACTTTTCACGGTCGAATCTCGCGATGGAGACACCGCAAAATGCCACTGGAACATTCTTCCGAGTCATCAAAGACCATTAAAATCAATTGGAAGGTGCAAAACGTCAACCAGGATAACTTAGCCACTTGACCCGTTACGATGATTCTAATCCGCAGTGCAATACGAGCACATGTCGCGACAGCTGCTAGAATTTCAGAAGGCGCCTTCCACTTTCGAAACTGATCGTCCGTGGCGGCGTTCCTTCGATCGAGCTTCCGATAATCACCGATTCCAGTTATCAGGAATCGATCGTCCGAACAATATCGCGGAATGCAGGATTAATGAAATGACGCAAACTAAACGATCGAGAACTATACATGCAACTCCGTTCGCTTCCGACTTCCAGCCAAATTGGATTCGGTATTTCACCGAATACGCTTTTCACGCACGATAACAGACTACCCCTTCATTTAGGAGCGTGCAACGTTTATATATGATCTTTACGGCATGAATTATGGAGCTTCCGTGAATTACGAGACCATTATCGCCAAGGTCTCGGCTAAACATTAATCGTGCAGAACCCCCTCAGGCTTAGCGGGACTGCTAAATTCTCCACCAAGATCGATTTTCGAATTGCTCATAAATACACGAAAAATGAGCATTTTAGCCATTCGGTTAAACGGTACTAATAATAATAATCTTTCTTGCGCAGCTCGTTATGATAAAACACACCACAACTCTGGAATCGATCGATCGACTTTCTCTTCTGTTTTACATACAACCTGCAATAGCCGGCAGCATTTCTGTTCGTAGTGTAATGAATATCAACGAGATCCGAACACGTTCGGGAACACGTGCTTTACGAGAGAGACCATCATGGATCGCGTCCTTCCGAATCAATTCCTCAGTGTCTGACACGCGCAGCGGGGATCGGTACGTTCGCTCGCAATTGCTGAAGATAAATCGACAGATTTCCTTTTCAAAGAATATAATAATGACATAATTGTGTGACGTGGGGAACGATAACGTGGCAACGATTACCAAACGTGTTTACAATGGGCTTTGCAAAAACAGCACGAAAACGACAGCTCGAGCGTATCGAGGCGGCAAACGGAGCTCGTGTAGTCGTTCGCGGCAAAAGGCAGACGCGTGAAAGGCAAGTATGAATATGGAGGAGCGAGAGGATTATAATTTCCGTGTGTCAGAAAGTAGCAGAACTTCAGTGCGAGCTGTGTCTAGCTATGGGAACGCATGCGAGAATATAAACCGACCGATGACAACACTTACAACATTTGATATACCATGCGGCTTGGACGACAACGTAAACAATCGAATCGCAAATCCACTGTTGGATCGACCAATCAACGACGTTGCAATGACATTGACGTGTTTTGCCGAATTTCATCACTCGTGGAAAAGCGGAAGCACGTGCGTACGTTGGACCGCGGAATCTGTACGGCATCGACCGAAAATGACCCCCGTCTACGGGGAATGAATAAACGCGAATGCTCACCCTAACAGTTTTTCTGTGTAACTGGTGGACTCTACGATCGCCTCAGGTTCCGATCCTCTTCTCTATCCTTCCTACGGTTCAGTCCAGTTACCGGTCAATGACTGCAATGTGTCTCCACTGAGAGGCGTACGTGACAGAACACGCACACATACGAGCACGTGGGTGAAATAACGTAAAATGTATTTGGTCGCAGCGGAGCACTGGTCGGACGGTCGTGCCTCCGGATCGTCGCTTTCCCCACTGCCTGGGATCCACGGACCTCGTATCAGTGCGTATTACGTGCGCTCACGTCTCCCCCCGCGCGACATGTACTCATACAGTCGCGGCTGCTAGTACGTACATGCGAGTCATTTACGCGCGGCACACACGCACGATTCGTAGTTCTGTGAGATTGCGTGCATCAATGCCACGTGATTGCGGACAGAAACTGCCCGTGAATCGTCCCGAGGGTTCAGAGAGTCCTGGTGATTCCTCGCACATGTACTCTTCTCTGCTCTCTCCCCACTCCTCCTCCTCCTCCTCTTCCTCCTACCCCACTCTCTCTTTCTTTCTCTGTCTCTCCTATATACCCTACGATTTTCGAAACTTGTGAGATAAAGATAATAAATGATACTCTCGCGATGTCCGCACGCGTGTTGCAATATCACATGCGGTAATATCACGCGATCGAAGGCGCTGAATAGAGACAGAGGTCGAAAAAATTGGTCCTGCGATCAGAACGAATGCACTTTGCATTTTGTCACCCTTGGAAAATTGTGTATAGATTTATGCAGTCTCGGCAAAAACGAAATAGGCAAAACGAAAAACGAATGAAGCAGAAGATTGATGATATATTATTTACAACTTGTAAAAATTATTAAGAGATAAAATCGATATCTGTTTTATTCGTCTTTTGCTATTGATACAGACAAATTTTGTTGCACACAAAGGCATAGATTATGTATTAAGTATCATTTTAGTGTTTAAAAAAGATTGTCTCTTATTCTTTGTAACTTATAATTTATCATTGTGTTATATCCGTGTCATTGTATGTTTACATTATGAATGTAAAATAATAGATATACATGTAATAAAGAAGGAATAAAATGATTTCATACGATGCTTCGTCTCAAGAATTGGTTGACTTGTCTGATCAAAGCTCACTGATTCTATTTCTTGTAAATATGTACTCACGTATGCGAATCTGTTGATTTTTAAACTCGATTTTGTCAAAACTAAAGCGTCATATGAAAAAAGTTTGATGGCGATCTTTCTTTCCTATTTATTTTTGTGTGTAAAATCACCTCCTGGCCTGTATACTACGAGAAATATTCTTAGAATAACTAGCGCACATTGTTTTTACACGGCAATCAGAACTTATAGTGCTCGGTAGTCATGGAGTTAAAGGAAAAACTATGCTCCAAAATATACAATAATGTACAATGCATAATAGTAGTTATACATTGCCATACAGTTTTATATTTAGAAAAAAAGGAAAGTCTTACGGTTAATTCTATAAAAAAAAAATACAAATGTTTCCAAAAGAAATTAATCTAAGTTTCGTATAAAGAATTATTTTTTCGGCGATGTTTTTCGTGATTATGTATTATGTATTTTACAGTCTAAAAGCAATGAAATATAATTTGCATTGTTTTCTTAACTTTTGGTTTTATAAACTAGAAAAAACAATTACCTGCAATTAGTAAGAAAGAATGTATATAAAGTTAGAATGTATGTCCACTCCAATCGTCACTATGAAGTGACCAGCTATTATGATTTCAAATACATTCTACCGAAAAAATGATCATAATATGTATGATACTTTTGAGAATTTTGTAAAGGTTGGTGTCACTAGGAACACATTCCAATTGCACGTAAAAGTTCACATTATGCCTGTTGGACAGAGTTTGAATATAGCGTGCAATAAAATAACATCCGCCTCTTAAACTATACAGACTGAATGGAGTTTGACTAAATTGGCCAGCACGTTTAAATTTAGATCGTTACAATCGACTGACCCTCGTGGCTTCATAATATATGGCATCATTCCATAGACAACTATCTTACACTTCGAAATAGTAAATATGGAATGTGGGATTTATGTGTGTGTGTGTGTGTGTGTGTGTGTGTGTGTGTGTGTGTGTGTGTGTGTGTCCACGTAGACTTTGAGAACATATTATTGAAACTCCAGTTCAGAAATACATATATTTATATTTGTTTTTCCTGATAATCTTTTTAACGAAAATTGTTATTAATTTTAACGAAGTTGGTTAATGTGAAATTATTTTATAACGTGAAGTATTTAGATTTATTTTCACTAGTTTATTTATGCAGAAATGTGAGATTAGCAGTTGTTATTTAAAATATTTAGATTTGTTTTCACTAATTTACTTATGCAAAAATAAGTATATTCAAACATTGTTCGTTTTAGTATAGATCAACTTAGTCAACATAAAATTAAGATATTTTTAACGCTAGATTCAGTTTTACATGCATGAACTTCGACTGTATATCATTTTATAAATATTGATACAAGTGATACAATATGCAAAACTATAACATAGAAGTGAAAGGATACTATATTCACGTTACTCCGGTAAAAGATCATCGCCAAGTTCTTCATCTCCGAAGTCGTCGTCCCTTTTTCCAGCAGATGTCATGGGTCGAGTAGGTAAAGGACCTATTGGATCTACGTAAGGTGTACCTGCGTCAAATATTTCATATACACAGGGAGTTTGGCTGTGTATTTCAAATATTTTAAATTAAACAAATTAATGACGGTTTGCAATGACAACTTTGTTTTCAAGTTACTAATGATTAAAGGTATCTCTGTACCAACGACAGTAGCAAGTCAAGCCAGAAAATGGATAAACGTTGATGTATCGTACCAAAGATAAGGGCAGATAACTGCCTCATACATTATTATTTAATCATTAATAATTTAAAACCAAAGTCATTATACTGAAATCATTACTTCTTTTTTCTATCTTTGATTGTTACATACAATCACATTTTAAAATATTCGACAGATATAGTCGAAGATCCTACATATTAGAATGTTTCAAAAATAAGCATATCGTGTAATTTATAAAATACCATTTGAAATAAATTAGTGCATACAAGTACAAGACTGAGAGGTATATATATTACAGACACAGCACCTGTTCGAAATAGCTAGACTTATCTATCATCTGTTCAATCCATTAGTGCAGTGTAATCATCATCTATACATCATTCTTGTAATGCTCATTTGAAATAAAGCTACGTAATTTCGAAATGTTAATGACTCTACAAAGAGCCATTAGACTAGAATAGACTACAATCTAGTATACAAAGACAGTATAAAGGAAAACATTTTTACATAAACGCAAGCAATTTATATATTTATCATGTAAAATTTAATTAAACTATTTTGATCAGAATAATTGTTAGAATAATTTTACGTAAAAAGTAACTAAATAATTATTACTATTGAATTATAGGAAATTTTTTTAATTGAAAATTTCTTTTATGTAATTTATATATACCTGTACGATCATTCGAATCATTTGCTGCTTCTGAATAATTCTCAATTGTAGACATACGATTAGATCTTGAGATGCCAGCACTGCTCAAGCCTTGATTGTCTCTTCTACCAGGAATAGGACTTGATCTGTGATCCGACAACATGCTCATTCCAGATCCAGNTTATGTGTGTGTGTGTGTGTGTGTGTGTGTGTGTGTGTGTGTGTGTGTGTGTGTGTCCACGTAGACTTTGAGAACATATTATTGAAACTCCAGTTCAGAAATACATATATTTATATTTGTTTTTCCTGATAATCTTTTTAACGAAAATTGTTATTAATTTTAACGAAGTTGGTTAATGTGAAATTATTTTATAACGTGAAGTATTTAGATTTATTTTCACTAGTTTATTTATGCAGAAATGTGAGATTAGCAGTTGTTATTTAAAATATTTAGATTTGTTTTCACTAATTTACTTATGCAAAAATAAGTATATTCAAACATTGTTCGTTTTAGTATAGATCAACTTAGTCAACATAAAATTAAGATATTTTTAACGCTAGATTCAGTTTTACATGCATGAACTTCGACTGTATATCATTTTATAAATATTGATACAAGTGATACAATATGCAAAACTATAACATAGAAGTGAAAGGATACTATATTCACGTTACTCCGGTAAAAGATCATCGCCAAGTTCTTCATCTCCGAAGTCGTCGTCCCTTTTTCCAGCAGATGTCATGGGTCGAGTAGGTAAAGGACCTATTGGATCTACGTAAGGTGTACCTGCGTCAAATATTTCATATACACAGGGAGTTTGGCTGTGTATTTCAAATATTTTAAATTAAACAAATTAATGACGGTTTGCAATGACAACTTTGTTTTCAAGTTACTAATGATTAAAGGTATCTCTGTACCAACGACAGTAGCAAGTCAAGCCAGAAAATGGATAAACGTTGATGTATCGTACCAAAGATAAGGGCAGATAACTGCCTCATACATTATTATTTAATCATTAATAATTTAAAACCAAAGTCATTATACTGAAATCATTACTTCTTTTTTCTATCTTTGATTGTTACATACAATCACATTTTAAAATATTCGACAGATATAGTCGAAGATCCTACATATTAGAATGTTTCAAAAATAAGCATATCGTGTAATTTATAAAATACCATTTGAAATAAATTAGTGCATACAAGTACAAGACTGAGAGGTATATATATTACAGACACAGCACCTGTTCGAAATAGCTAGACTTATCTATCATCTGTTCAATCCATTAGTGCAGTGTAATCATCATCTATACATCATTCTTGTAATGCTCATTTGAAATAAAGCTACGTAATTTCGAAATGTTAATGACTCTACAAAGAGCCATTAGACTAGAATAGACTACAATCTAGTATACAAAGACAGTATAAAGGAAAACATTTTTACATAAACGCAAGCAATTTATATATTTATCATGTAAAATTTAATTAAACTATTTTGATCAGAATAATTGTTAGAATAATTTTACGTAAAAAGTAACTAAATAATTATTACTATTGAATTATAGGAAATTTTTTTAATTGAAAATTTCTTTTATGTAATTTATATATACCTGTACGATCATTCGAATCATTTGCTGCTTCTGAATAATTCTCAATTGTAGACATACGATTAGATCTTGAGATGCCAGCACTGCTCAAGCCTTGATTGTCTCTTCTACCAGGAATAGGACTTGATCTGTGATCCGACAACATGCTCATTCCAGATCCAGTCCGTGATGATGCTCCGCTATTGGTCCTTCTTGATCCTAGAAACAAATACATTCACATCCATTTAATACTTGATATATTCAAAACCATACGTCTGAAATACCTGGTCGTGCCGATCCTTGTCTATCTTTTAATTCCTTTGCCTTTTCAGCACGTTTTAATTCTGTTGCATACATTTGTGCTTCTTTTAAACCGAGATCACTACATAGTCGAATCAAAAACTTGAGACATTCAATGTTTTCAGGAAACTTCTCGTGGATATCTTGATACTCCAATAGAGCTTTGTGGAATTGACCTGTTCGTCTCAAACATGCAGCAACAAGCAATCTCCATCTCGGTTCACTAGGAGCCAACTCTACTGCTTTTTTGAAATAAGTTAAAGCTTTTTCCGCAACCTGAATTAAATGTCAGAATGAAATTGTATTTTTAGTATAAGATCTAGAAAAACTCGATTATAATCTTTACCTGCATTGTTACAAAATATGATCCAAGCCAGTCAATTACTTCGAAATTTGCAGGAAAGTACCTATATGACTGCAGAAGTAAACATATTAATGTATATATAAGGTACAATAAAATAATTGTAACAACAAATCAACTTACATCACTATACAACTGATATGCTTGTTGTTTATCACCACTAGCATCATACATTTCACCCAATTTTTGCAAAACTCCAGGATCAGATGGTATGATACCAAGTAATTGATTGTACCTAACATATTTTAAAAAGCTTTCAATAAGATAATATCCGTAACAAGTTATATAATTTAAAGAACATATTGAACTGAATCACTGTACCATTCTGCTGCTTGATCTACATCATTCATGAGCTGATACAAATGACCAATTTGGTACAGTGTTTGTGGATCATGTCTGACTATGTTACGAACTTTCCAAAAACATTCCAAAGCTTGTTCATACATGCCTTGCTTTTTATAGACTAATCCTGTTAATCAACTTTTCCTTTATAATACGTTTAAATACTTGTGTGTATGTTTTAACGAAATTTACCTAAACTATAAAGTGCCTGTACGTGACTAGCGTCTGTATCCAGCGCACATAAAAGAAACTCCCTAGCTACATCTAATTCGCCTTTTCTGATTGCACAAGCTGATAAATTTACATAAGCAGCTGCATTATAACAATCTGCCTTTCGAGCGATTTCTCCACAATTTTCTGCTTGTTCATAATCTCCTTGCTACAAATTAAATAACAGTAATCATATATCCTTGCAAAAACCATAAAAATTAGTATTATGACTTACTAGAAAGTAAATAAATGATAGCGTGGTCGCAGCTGCGCTATTAACTTTACTTTCTCGGTTTTCAAACATTTTTAAGGTATCAATGGCAAGCTGTGTTTCTCTGTTATGCAAGAACACCATTGCTTTATTTATTTCTAAATCAGCAGCTAGAGGTCCATAAGCTGAAGATTTTATAGCATCAACGCACCTTAAAAAAATACAATTATAATAAACAAATTAAAATATTTAATAATTAATTATTCATGGATTGAAATTCTTAAAACTTTACCAAGCAAAACCAGCTGTGAGCGTATCTTCAATAACAGGTGCTATTAATTTAGCAGCAGATAGTATAGTTTTCTCAGCTTCAGACTTCAATTCTTTTTCTAGCTTTGATAAATCATCATTCTTCAGAATTTCATTTAATATGTTAGAAGTAACATCGTCCTGTAAAATACATAAATAAAATTTCAGTGGAGAACAATAATCATTGTAAAAATAAGTTTCTGAGTATTTAAACAATAAAATGAAATTAAATATTTATGAAGCTAGTGAATGTGGGCATAATAATCAAAACAACACACTGTATAGTGATATTCATAAACGTGCCCAACTCACGGTACTTATGTTATATCTGTCCTCCTGATCTATGTTAAGCTGAACTTCTAGTAATTCTAAAAATGCCCTTTTCATTTTATCCCTATGAGACAATGCAAAATGGCACAAAACAGTATGCAACCCTGCTTTAAATTCAGCTCTTTCTTTCATAACCCATTCAAAACTATTAGCTGCTTCTTCCAAACGACCCATTTGTACAAACAACATTCCAATGTTATGCATTATTTTTATTCTGCGAATTATTTATCGAGATAATTAATATAAGTAATTAATTGTAAAAGTTTATATATATATTAAGGACTGTAGAATAATTTACATAATCTGCACTATTATTTTATTACCTTAAATCTTTATGAGCAGCTGATGCTTGATCAAATGCCATCCTGTACATTTTAATTGCTTGAGACAATTGTCCTATTTTAACATATATATTTCCCATGTTTACTTTCAACCTAGCATTGTTGCCAAATGCTCGGTTCTTTGTTATGGCCTGATAAGTAGCGATGGCTTCAGTAAACATGTCATTATTGGTATACTGAGTTGCTAAATTAAAAATAACCTAGAAAATTATATGATGTTTAGCATATATATTCTTCTTTTTCCTAAATTAATAAAAAATATTGATCCATACAGCAAATGTTAAGTCAACATTATGGTTGTCACTGAGTCCAGCCTGTTCCTCTAATCGAATTAAAGCTCGCTCTCGCGATGATGCTTCCCTTGCTCTTTCTAAAGCAACTTTCGCATTATTCTCGTATGCTGCCTCTACTGAACTTTCAATTAACTCCATTATTTTCCTTTCAGCTACTTTTATCTTTTCTTCTGGTCTATAGAAGTAATCATTAATATTTTACTTTTTTAAAATTTTAATATATATTGAATAATTAGTCCATAACAATCTCACGTGTCTTCTTTTCCACTTTCTAAAGGTGGTGCAGCTCCTTTAACAGTATTTCCCATATTAAGTGGATCAAATGTTTGACGACTGCTACTGGTGTAACCAGCACCCCTGACTGCTGTCATTGGACGAACTCCACTAGTAGATGGACGTATAGATATACCAGTACCAGACCTATGAAACTACAATTAAAAGTAATTATATCGAGGTCTAATATATTATTCTAATAATGTATGTACGCTATTAAATTTACTTACTCCGGTTGATGTGCCTAAACGCATTGCAGTTCCAGGTGCTTTTGCAGTGAACTAACAACAGATAATTATAGAATAATTCCTTTATTTTTATAATTAACAAATACTTCCTGCCATTCTAAGTTATAAGTCTAACTACTTACAAGCGATCTTCGTCCGTAACTTGTGTTAAGAGCTTCATGAAAATATTCATCTTGCTCAAAATCTTTAATATTATATACTGTTGGATAATTATTATATCCATCATAAATATCATCATTCATTTGCATAGCAGTTAGCATGATCATTTTTATAGCACTATATTAATTGCAGAAATAAATAAAAAATCAGTAATTCTATTTCTGCCAATAATTATTATTTTAATATTATTTTAATTATTATAAAAATTGAAAGACACGTTGTAATGAATGTAATTTCATATTTATTCAAACATCACTGAATATTGAAAACTACATATATGGAAACACAAATTCTATATAGCTTTATTCGGTAACAGCAAATGTTTTGATTTGAACACAGGACGAGTTACCAGGCAACACGCACAACATCGCACATTGTGCGATCACAGAGTGAGAGATGAGGTAAGTATGTATTTACTGTATTTGTTTGAGATTTGCCCCTCGACAACATACAGTAGTGCTTCACCTTAGTGAACGAAGCGGGGGTAACCAGCTTAATAGTATGAAGCAGGTAGAGAAATCTGATTGGTTGATGCTTCACAGCTAAACAATATTGCCCTCACGGTTCTAACCAAAGAGAGGAAGTGCCGAGTGAGCAAGAGAGTACTGTCCATAAAAATAATTACACTATATCGTATTTCTGTAGTACATGTTTCATAAATACTATTTCCACCATTTACATAAACATTCATGCTGTACAGGCTTATTGCCCCTAAATAATATTCAGCATTCATAGTAGAAATGAAATATACAGAATATTCGCTTCTTGCTAATGTGCTTATTTTTCGTGAAACGTCGGCAACGCTGAGCACGATATAAAATGGTAAGGAGGCTCGAGACTGTCGGTAAGGTAGCTCTAGAGCACAGACTTAGGATCCGTAAATCCATACAGACATTGCATGCAACGTTTTTTTGTCCCAGGGTCTGAATTACCATCTCTGTAGAAAATACTGTAGTATGATAGCGGACTCTACCGAAATAGAACGGTCGACTAGTGAATTATATCTGACTGCAATAGAGAAAAGTATATGACCGAGGTGGCTAAATTTACAGCGTTGTCAGCTTTTAAAAGTACATTCTTGCCGTGTTACATCCCTACGAAAACTACCAATGCTTGCGCGAAAGCGTTCAAGCGATTTCTTCCCTGTTTGTCGGCGACGACACAAACTTGGAATTCGTACGGATCCTAAGTAATGTAGGAACGGACTCTACATCTACATCTTTTATCTGACATGCTTATATTAAACAATTATATGGTCATTCGTTGACTTGTTTAAAAATCCATTTCTAATTTTGTATAAAAATTTTGTTAAAAATTTTGAAATTTTTAATTGACGTATTTTTAATTACAATTTTCATACATATGTAGGAGCTGCAGGTTGACGACCGGAGAATTCGCGCGAGCGACTCCCGAAATCATAGCAGCTATTCGGTGGTCGCGGACTCCCGTGCGTTAACCCCACACGAGAAAAGTGTGCGTGCGTGCATGTGCGTTGCGATGTTTGAACCGTCGGTTTCCATACAAAAGCGGAAAAAGGTCAGTTTCAGAAAATTATTTGCGTGACTTATTATTTACTATGACATTTTTTACCATTTGTTCATTTTGGACACGGCTACATAGTAGCAAAATGTTGGGCTTCAAAGTAGACCATCTCCAAATAACCCTAAATTTATATCATCGTTTATAATTATTTTGTGCTTTGAAAATAAATAATTTTTACCGAATTTAATGTACTTAGTGCGTACTTAAATTACGTGTATGTTGAATTTTTATTTTATTTTTTAATTTTGAGTTCGGTGAAGTTCAATATTTGCTTTGATCTCATTTTAAAGAGTCGTGCTTGACATTAATAACAAAATAAAAATTGGCAGTTAATACTGCTATTGGAGAAATTACCTAATAATAATGCCAAAATTTATCTTCAAAATATAAATATTATCTTGATATACAGTAGATGTTTCTTTTCTTAGAATGATGCTATTTCTCTTTCTTTTACAACACCTTATAAAGGTAACAATTACATTCCTATTATTTCTTTTCAAACATAATACAATTACACTTATACGACTATTCTTTGTATTCGATCTTTCCAGGATTTCTCTATTTAACCTCTTTCTTGTTCCGGATTATGTTTCCTGATGTTAAGTATAGTAAATTTTCCCGAGAAGGCCCACAGCTCAGAATTGAGAACGGTAATTGGTAGACACTCAACATGATACTTTTTGAGTCTTGCGGCTCGTTTTTGTAGTTGCCGACACCTCGTGTGTGCGTATGTGCGCGTGCGCGTGGTGCGGGTATGTGTGAGAGAGAGAGAGAGGGAGGGAGGGATGGAGAGAGAGAGAGAGAGAGAGAGAGAGAGAGATTGAAACTTGGGGCAGTTGGCAAAAAAAAGACCGCGACCAGCATGCCGGTGTACATTAATACAAATTCACAATAATGCTAGAATAAAAACGATACCTTAACTGTTTTGTTTCTAATTTTTTATACATGAAATTTTTTTTAATATATTGTTCAGATTCTTTCAATTAAAACGAGATAAAACACGACATGCTTTAAACCATATTTATTCATTATACGTAGCAAATAATATATTTTATTTCATTACACAAATTAACGTCAAAGAAGATATGTATGTCGTTCAGTAGAAAATATCAGTGGAGTTATGCTATTCGGATCTACGTTCGACGGAAATTCAGGGGCCACATGCTTCGATTCGAAGGCAATTCGGAGGCCACGTGCCACGATTGGAAGGCAATTCGGAAGCTATATGCTACGATTAAACGGAGAACATGATCATCAACGGTCGTTGCGATTGGACACGTACCTTGTAGCTCCACTTATCTGACTCACCCTCACCAAACAAACCATTTTGTGTTGCCTTTCGGGAATTCGAGTCAAGGTCGCGTGCCGCATCACAAGCTTGACCGACTCTGTCGACTCTTGGCATCGATGTAGCAAAAAGATCACATAGGCGTAGGACCAGCACAGGGAAATTCACAGCAACCCGAAATTTAGCATTCTAGGGAGAATTTACTGTACATTTACACTATTGATGATTTAAATTCAGTATCCAACGGACATTTTCTGACCATTTGGACAAACCTAATAACTTTAGTCACTTTCAATATTTGCTTTATTTTTGGATACGCATACAAATTTTGTTCACACAAATTGTATTGAATGGAAGGGTCACAAAGCGTCAGTATTAATATTTTTGTGTACTCTGTCCATTATAAAAGTAACATCGTTCCACATTTGGAGTTTGCAAGAGGCGGAACTTTAATATCTGAACCCTCACTTAACCTTTGGGATATTTATTAATTATTTCGTTGATAACCATTTGGGGTAGCGTGGCGAACAATCATATACATCAGATCGGTAGGCAATGGTGAGGAATGCGCAAATCGGTTGAAAATTAATCGAAGCGTGAAGTTACTCTTACGATGAACAGATTTTAAGGTTATCTCTTTCCTTTTAATTCTTAACAGATTTGCCGACATTTAGATGACATATCCTATTGTAGATACGGCAATACAGCAATAAAGCAATCTTAAGAGTTGTATGTTTGCATAGGTGCATTCGTGCTATCATCAAACTGTTGAGTCCCGAACATTTCTTATCGCTTGCTGCCTCATTGAAGCACACGTTGCAAGATATCAGGAGTCACTGAGATCGTTCAAATATCAATTATTCTATTAGGAATAAAAAGATGCAGCAAACAAGTTAACAAAATTGAAGAGGCAAAATCTAAAACCTTCCATTTCCAAAAAATTAACGTCGCCATAGTAAAATTCCCTTTGCACGACACGTCCGTTGCGGATGAAATTCCTCCATATCTTTAAAAATAACACAGCATTCAAGTTATCGGGCCTCGCTGTATAATTCCGAACGAAGTGGCTTTTCTATGACGAGAGATGTATCTCCGGTTTCCAGTTTGCGTTAAATATTTATCGTCGATAACTGTCAGCTATTTCTGGCGCTGAGACATACGCGTGACCGATTAAAACAAACAGAAATTAATTCTTTGCTTTGTTACCACATTTCGTCAATGCGTGCCATTATGAAAGAGAAACGATATTGACACTGCGATCGGTAATCAGTGAAAGGAATGAACGCGCGCTGGTTACCGTTTGTTTGTAGGAAAATTACTATCACACGTTCAGTTGGCATTTTTTTGCAATTACAATGATTCAACATTCATTATATCGTTTTTCAACACTCAACCAGTAACATTTAATCGTGACTTCACACGTGATCGCACTTACGTCTATAAGAATTGATCCTTGCTTCCTTTGAGTCGCTACATTATTACCTTATATTCAAACGATTACTATGGAAATAAAAGGTGGCCTGTTAGCCAACAGAAGGTTGAAAATGTGCAATGAAATTATTTTATAGCAGAATCTCGTTTCAGGAGAACTGATTAACCTTATGCATTCACTTCGTTTTATTCATTAGTTAGACCAATTAATTTATTCGTAGAGCCATATTTCAAGTTATCCTAATCACAGATAAATAAAGATTTGTATAGTATATAAAATAATAAAATGGATTAATTTTGATTCGGGAATTGTATGAGGGTTAATAGCAATTGTTCATAAGTGAAAATTATTTTTCATTTTGAACGGA